AACACCAAACAACAAAGAAAGCCACTAGCAAACCCCTAAACTCCTACTTCTTTCTGAAGCTAACACCATAAATAGAAACTATGTAAGCAATGTCCTGTATGTGCCTCAAATCTGGATCTAAAGGAATCCTTGTAGGGTAGAATAGACTACACTTGTTTTTCAAGAGTCTCTACACTACTGTGATGTGTTAAATGTCATTATTCCTACTGTAGAAAAGATTTGGCAATTGGTAAAATCTAAGGTAACTAGTAACAGGCTGGTCTCTAGTGGGACTGATGCTGGCTAGCAGAGCCTGCCCTCACACCCCCGAGAAGCTTTCTGGCACACTCACCCAACAACCCCAAACCCCCATCTGTCCTCCTCCAGTTTGCTCCAAGCCACATTCACCTTCTTTTCTCTGGGGAGAAGTATGCACCATTTTTATAGTAATTGACTTTCCATCACATTGGTGATCAGGGTCATGAGGACCTGGTTATGGTCAGGAGGGAAGTATCACTAGATGCCTAAGTGCATTTAACTCCTTGTTGCAGCTGAAAGGGTTCTCCACGAACAGTTTGCTGTTGTTTTAGGCAGGTGAATTGACTCAGTGATACCCAGAGGCATGAATAACAAGAACGGACAGCTGAGCGCTGGTTTAAGGACTCCTGTCATACAAGGAATCCTGTGTCTCTTACCACAGCCATCTCTCAGACCATGAGGAAAACAGTGAAGGAGCCCATTGACACATTGGCAGAGCAGGCAGCCGTCCTTGGTCCACTCCCCATGCCTCACTGTGCCACAGAATCTGCAATATTAGGAAATAACAGCAATAATTAAAAGGAAAAAAAAAGGAAGTGGAATTACGTATCTTGAAAGTAAGCTTGTTAGTATTTCTGGGAAAAAATCCCACCCCGCGTTTTTCTCACCTGATATGTTTATCATGTTCACAATGTCTACCCGTAAAATACTTTGGACATATGCAGAAAGTCCCCAGAAAACAGGTTCCTCCATTTTGGCAGCAGTTCCTGTGCAGCTTACGGGCTACAGTCAGAAATAAGAAGTTATTGCAGGAAAGTTGTTGAGCAAATAAGGCATTCACTTTAGCTGCAACAGCTGGGCCACCAGTTTAAGCCTGATGCTTTTAAAATTTGCTTTGTTTGCCTATTGCAAAGACCCTACACAGTTATTCAGACTTGTTAGCAGATTCAAAAGGTCAAAGACTAAATTAAGCAGCATCCTCATAAGTTTTAATTACTCTTTCAGTAACAGATACAATTGCCTTCAGGGTTTTGTTTTTGTTCCTGTGCTTAATCAGATATTAAAGTTTGTAGAGGCACTCAGTCGAGGACCTGACCTTTCATATGTTCTTTAAAAACATAGCAAGGCTTGCTTTCTTTGATCCTGTTTTCTGGCTACCAAGTCTGGAAAAGACATGCAAACCCTGGTGTCTAAACAGGCGGCTGCAACTCTCAATTAGTGTTTCTGGGCCAGATGGGTCTAGATTCTTAATAAAATGGAGTGGGTAGGAAGGCGGCCCCAAGAAGTAGACTCTCTTTACTAGCGTGTGTTTTCCGAGATGTTTTGGAAGATGCTTCCAGATAACAAAGAGAGACAACTGTCATATATATCTCGTGAGCAGGCACTGCACATATAGCTGCAGCTGAAGCTGGTAACACACGTCTTCCATCAAGTATAAAAATATCAGTTCTTTATAATCTCCATGGGAGCTGGGGGAAGTGTTAGGAAACATAAAAGGAAATAGCTCTCTCTGAATCAGGGCAACAGCTTTCAGCAAGGATTGCTTCATATTCCCCTGGCAAATAAAGCACTCCAACTTGGTTAATAGTACTGAGAACAGGCTAAGGGAGGCATGTCTATTACTGCCATTTTCTTTTTTCCTCCAAGTGGGAGGAAGAAGAGAATTTATAGGCAGCGATAACCAGTGCTACTGATGCATGTCCCAAGGCACTGACTGAGGGGGGCTGAGATTGGCCTTTTGCACCCTGTATATGAAACACAGGGAGTTTTCTTTACACGCCAGCTTCTTGAGTTGCAGCTGCCCTCACATCTCAAAATCGGGAGCAAGAGGTGAAAAGTGTTTTTTGGACCATGTACCATCCAGCATTTAATTGGCCATACAACCTGAAGTTGTTGCATCTCCTCTGAAGGGGGTAGGATTTGGCACAAGCTTCTGAACTTACCTTTACATCTGCTTCCTTTTTCCAAATAAAACCATCAACCCTTTCTAGCTTTCTGCACAATTTAACAAATGTAATGAAATGATGATGCGGGACTTCCCATTTCTCCATAGGACCACCATATTTCAAATACTTCAATGGATATGTTAGCAGGCATTTGTGATGTCTTCAGGAGCGCAGAAGAGTGCATTTGTGTTCACAAAAGGGCTCGCTAGCTGTGCTGCCGATGGCTGCCTGCGTACTTACCAGGCTCCACAGGTTCAAGGACTCCCTGCTATTTGCCAAAGAAACCACACTGTGGTGTGTAAAGGCCCTTTGTAGGGAGTCTGCATGTTTTCACTAACATGTGGGGCTTCTGTTGTCTGTTTGTTTTTAACTAATACAGCTATCAGTATGTACCAAAGCCTTCTGTGCATTTGATTGTGCTTTTAAAAGATGGTAACAGAAAGTATCCTCTGGAAAACAGACGATGATGTGACCTTAATGCCCTTTTTCCTGCCTTTAGAAACACCTTCACAGTGGACATGAAAATCAGTTATATCCCTATGTGATGAACAATTTACCATGTGTTAACCCAGTGAAGGGTAAGACATCAGAAGAGTTTCTCCTTTTCCTGTTGGAACTGAGGTAATTAATTTCCTTAAAAGTGTTTAAAGATGTGCCCTGATTTTCCTGGTGTGGAGAATTGTTACAGTTTTCCCGTTTGCACCCTTTAAACGTGACATTCTTGGGAACAACTGAAACACAGAATTAACATATGACACTACTTAGAAAAACTGGCAGCATAAAAATATTTCTTATGAAGGTTACGAGCATCAAAGCTGTAATTTTATAAAGTGATAGAGAAGCTGATGTGTGTTTTATATCTTATTTAGCTATTTCTTTTTCTGCTTCACTGTTCAGTCCAGTGTCATTACGTGGGTTCAGGAGCCGGTAGAATGATAAAATAAAAAACACTGGAATGTTTGAAATGTTAATTTTGTTATTTACATGAAGAGTAACAAGGGATCAGGGCACATGCTGTGGGTCCTGAACAGGCAACAGGTAGACCCTATAACCAGATCCTGCTCACTGTGAAAGTCCACGTGGATGTCCTGCATCCTTCATCATGCAACACAGCCTGGCTTGCTGAAGAAGCCAAAGAGAGCAACATTGCAGAAAATACTGAACCTACAAACATGAGGGTAATGTCACTCACAAGAGTAACCCCATTCATGCATGAAGATATCTGAAAGCTGAGACTGTAAGACAGTAGTTATTTTAATACTACCATTAGTATTCACAGGAGGAGGAGGGAACAGTCTTTAGTATTTTCTTTGCTGGGTAGAACCACCACCCATTTAAAAAAACCCAAGAAATAAAGGTTATGTCTTACCAGTTTCAAACTGGAGCACTTGTAAAGGTAGTAACATGCTTAAAAGAAATCTGGAATGAAAAGATAAAGATACGTGAGTAATGAATTCACAAAAAACTTATTAAATTATAGCATGAAGTTAGTGAAATGTAATTATAACTATGATTTTGGAACATATAAGGGGAAAGGAAGTAAGGCATTGTCTAGGTACAACACAGGTATTATGGGAGAATTGATTCCCTCCAGTTTTAAGTAATTACTAGAAAAAGAAGTGTGAAAGGTACAAAATACAAGAATTTACTAAACAAAATTGATAGAGTCAATTATTTTTTTTTCTGTAAGCAGTAACAAACATTTTAAAGACTGTACTTTTATTATTAAAAAAAAATTTCTTACCTAAAAACCTTCATATTTTTTCTCTCTGGTCTGCCTGTATTTCGCTTCTTTCTTTGCCCATGAAATTCCTCTGCTATAACTTTACACTGCTTGGTACACAAAAAAGAATTAGTTTGACAGGGAACTTTTGGTGAAATATAGAAATGAAAGTAAAGCCAATCCTCTGCTTATCATCCAAGAAAAAATTGGTGTACTTCACTCGCTGAGCTTTAACAGTGTACTCCCTGCAGCAAGTCATTTACAGACGATCAACACCTTTCTACTCTTGCCTCCCATTTCCCTACTTGACCTCTCTTCATTAACCCAGCAATTTGCAATGGCATTGGGTGGTGGATTTATCACAGGACTGGCTCTAAAGTAGTCTCTGGGGGCAACAGAGCTAAAGGTAAATTGGATTTTCTACATGAAGGCCTCTTCTTTTTTCTCTTTTTCGTTTTCTCTTGTCTTAAAATGTAATATTATTGCCATGACTCAGGTCTGGTTAATGATATAAATACGGAGCTATATGGTCAACATACTATAATCCCTAGAATAAATCAGGAATCGATCTGAAAGGTAATATTTTAAACTTGATTCTGTTTTAATAATTTCTATTTTCTATATGGCATTTTGGTTTAGAGTATATTTTTTATGTTACATGCAATATTTTCAAGATTGGTTTATTTTAGCTTGGTCTAAATGGAGACATATTAATGTCTCAATCTTACTGTCCTGGGAATTGAGAAAATGAATTTTGAACTTACTCTGTTGTGACCTAAGCTAAACCAAAAAGGCATTAAGTGCCAGAATTTGCCTGCCTTTAACTAAACAAATGTCACTGAACTGGTGAAAGTTTGTGTGAAACAGCCGCAATGAAACCTATTACCCTCCTGAGTATTTGCATACCTCAAAGCGCACATCTTTCATTTATCATTTGCAGTAATGTCAAATCTCCACCTTTTTGAAATAACTGGTTGACCTCACCACAAAACTTTCTTCCAACGGCCAAGTTAGGCCTAAGCCTTTCGGTTTCACTTGGCTTGCATTCTGTTTTGTGATACTGCTTTTATTTTCTGCCTTCACTTTTCCAAAGATTGCTCTGCACTAACAAACAGACCACTCACTGAATTTCTACTAAATGAAGACCAGGGTTGTCACACGATGGTGTGGTGCCAGGAGATTAGATTAGCAGTAGATTGACATACCAGGAAGAAGGCACAAGGGTTTTACGTACAGGAAATACTTTTCAGGTTTGTTTGCTGGGCTCTGGAAATTTGATCAGAGATGGAGCCAGTGTAACAATCCTTTCTTTCGCTTGTTTGGTTTTGCCCTTGGAGTTCAAATGGGAAAGAGGGCCCATTTAAGAGGCATAATGAGCAAGGTGTAGCTTTACTCTGTTGGACTAATCTCCCAGAGCAATTCATTGCCCCTCTAATGATTTACTCCCCAAAACTGATGCTATCTCTTCCTACCATACCTTCTGTATGCACACATACAAACAGTTGCCATCCTCGGCATCCTGGGACAATTTAAGGAGAATAAGACTTGCAAATTGAAGCGGTCGTCATTTCTATCAACTTTGATTTAGGTTAATGATTGTAAATAATAATTAGTAGTTGATATTTGAACACCTTGTCATTGAAAGCTGCTCAGTGATTACAGCGCATCTAGGTCATTTAGGTGAACAGTTCCACTCATTCCAAGGCAAATGAGCAGGATTTGTGGCTGAAATCTGAGGCCTTAAGCATGGCTTAAACTTTTGGGTGTGTTTAATAATCCCACTGGAAGTGATTCAGTGCACTCTATCAGATTTGTCTTGTGTGAATTACTGCTTCACCATTCCACCTCTCAAGATGAAAATTCTGTCAGCACATACGATAGGTGAATAATTTTAAAACCTAACATTTCCTTTTTGATTCTTTACCACATCTATCTATTTTTAAAATCATATTTAGTTAAAAATTAGGATAAATATGCAGTTACTGTAGTGAGCCCTGAGGAGTCTGGGACTACCACAGAAATACTAAATCCAAAATGAGCTTGCTTAGTTACCAGCCATTACTAGGAAGGTCGAAGTCGTTGCTACACTATTTGAATCAAAGCCTATTTATTTTCTCTACTATCCTGTCCTTTTTTTTAAAGTTTGATTTTTGCTAAGGTTTATTAGTAGGGAATTTATTTTGACCAAAAGTTTTCTTAGAAATCTTCATGTGAAATCAGCTTATTGAAGATTGTTTTGAAATATTAAGCACTGTTTTAAACTTTTTTTAAATAAACAAAAAGTAGCAGTAAACCTCAGAGATAAACTTGTTTTTTGATGCTTTCTTGTTAAAATAAAGATAACTATTTCCTGCTTCCTCTTTTGATTTTTTTTTTTCCTTTTCTGCAACGCAAAGTGCTTTTAAAAGGCAGTGCTTTGGGGTAGGTGCAATAAAACTTAGCAGCTTTTTAAAACCTAATGGCTCTTGGAGTGGGAGTGTGTGTGTGTGCCATGGTGGAGGTGGAGGGTGTCAAAATAGCAAGGCAGTTAACACAAAGACTGTTTGAATTTGTCATTGTTGGGTCTTATCATTATGTTGCCTTTTGCCTGACTCTGTGAAACCGATGTGTTCTCTCAGAAGCACAGATTAAATCTCAAGAACATTAGAACATAACAGTAAACTCATTATTTTTTTTTAAAGTTCTATCGATATAAATTGCAAATTTCCCTAAGCTGATAACTTCTTACATGAGTTTTGCAGTTTCTCTCCTGTTGGTGTGTATTTATGCCAAGGGTATGATCAAATTCAGTATTCCTATAACACAGTAGTGATTGAAACCCCTTAGCTGCATTCTAACCATAACTTAGCATGAGTAAGGTGATTAAAGCTGGTAAATTACACCTCTTCCAAACACATCATCCAGAAAGGGCTAATGTTCCCTTACTTGCGCATTGTTTCATATCTCTGTGGTTCAGTTCCTCATTTATAAAACACAGGTGAAAGTACTCCCTTGCATCAGAAGAGCATTATGAGGCTATATTAATTCATAAACATGATGGGTTACATAAAGATGTTCATAAACGTATTGCTGAGAAAGTATTGCTATAAATGGCTTCGGGATAATGGGCCTGCCTATCTAATGGTTAAAACCATTTTCAAAACAGTTACTAAGGTTATGGTTTTCATCTTTTTGAAACACATATTATACCACAAAAATGCAGCTGTCTGAATCTTGTAAAGATGATGTATAACTCTCTTCTCCATAAGCTCATGGAAATTTTAACCTGGGTCACTGTTGTCAAATACCAGTTTCATATTCTATGTTTGGCTAGAGATAATTTACAGACTCACCTACACATTTTGTGCAGCCCAGTGGCACCATTGTGTAGCCACTTCTGCACATGTTTTTTTCAGGAAATGAAGGCTTCTAGGATGCTGGAGGTATTCAGGGTTAAAGAGCAGAAGAGGGAATTTGAAGAGGCTGGGGTTGTCTAAATGTAGGTTCTTTGTGCAAGGTAAGTCCACGGTCAAGGTAAGCAAAAGAAAACAAACAAAAAATTCAAATGTTAAGGCTAAAATTGACAGGCAAAATTATATATGGAAATTACACTAATACTTTAAATATATCCTTATGATTCTTCCTGTTGTCAAAACTTTTAGGGGAATTGGAAAAATCTCCCTTCAGTGAGGGTAATTAGGGAGAGATTTTCTGTGTGCATACTTACGAATCTCACTTTTTTTTTCATGTTTGCCTCATACTGCAGATGTCTGTCAACGCTGCTCATGTAGTCACTGAAACTTACAGTCATATTCTGTCAGAAATTATTAGCCAGAGAATCTGTAAACAGTAAACTAGTGCCAGGTCAGTATGTTCCTCAAACAGACAAAATGATTAAGTGAAGGAACGCTTAATCAGGAGCTGTTGTCCTTGAAGAAAGGAACATCCAGGAACGTATGTACTCTGTTAAAATTGTTTACCATGAGTCTTGGAACTATCAGATTAAAGTGTCCTTACAGGAACTACCCTCATTATAATACTAAAAATCACACCTATAGGTCAAAAGACCCCAGCCCAAATGAAAACCCTAACCCATGAGCATGTGTAGTATACAAAACTGATTTTGTAATCATATGTAAATTACTAACCAATCCTGAGGAAGTATGTGCAACTATAGGCTGATACTAACCAGAACTGAAAGTAAAAATTATATGAACGACTGCAGAGAAGTGTGCTAGCTTTGTGGATTTACCACCTAGCACCCGACATTGCACAATCTTGTAATGAATCAATTATCTCGACTCTGTGTTTGGATTGACTCATTGTACATTGGGTAACAGACCCCATTTGTGGGACAACACTCAGACATTGTGATTCTTTGAACCAACAGGA